CTGGGCTGTTTGCCATGATTTTTGTGGTTATCGACAGGTGATAATCCCTAGATGTGCCCGCCCGCTCTTGTCAGATTTTGGAAATAAGACCCAGATTTTTTATAATAGAGTTTACCAGGGAGTTTAGAGAGGGGGGCAAAATTTGAAATCCCTGCCATTTTTTATCAGCGGTGTTTTCAACTTTAGCGGAAAATTGAACGAAGCGGGAAATTGTGAATCTTGGTTTGCTAGTAGGGTAAGGTAAGTGAATCGAAGACATGGTGCTTTACTACAGACTATCTGAAAGTGACGAAACGCTCCGTTCCGTTCGTTCCGTTTTGTTTCAGTCTTGGCCTGAAGTTTGGAATAAATGCCGGTTTTCTTGTTTGATTCTTATTGGTCCAACCGCTCCCGACCAGAGGGAGATTGGACAAATGAGAGTCGGGTATGAACATCTTTTCATTTCTTTGGGGGTTCTTTTGTCAGAGCGGGCCTAAGAGAGTGCAAAGCGCCCTCTGGGGGTTGGGCATGGCCTCCTTTTTTAATCCAAGCATAGTCAACAAGCTCACAATCCATCTTCATCTACGTCAAAAACTGAGTCATCATGCACAGTAACATTTTGGCAAGTAACACTACTACAGTGACCGGGCCCGCAACATCCCATCTCAGGCCCTGGTACCAGTTTTAAGGCCCGGGCCCCCAGCACACAGGGGCCTCCCCCGGGAAATTATTAAATTTTAAATCTACTTGGACGCATTTTGAAGCTCCCATGACGAAGATTTTCCATTCGTTTCTGCAGAATTATTACGCCTTTTCCTTTATACTTTTAGCACAACATATTTTCGGACTGTTGCTTTCAAAACATCTGGAAATTATTTTCGGGGGAGGGGCAGATTATACTATTTTCAATTCTAGGGGGGTCCAAGCCCCCTTGGACCCCCTTTCGTACGCCTATGGCAAAGAAGTTGAGCCATTGAAGTCGAGGATGCCCAGACTGGAGACTCTTAGCATCTGACGATGGAAGAAAATGAAACGCAGGTAATAAAAATATCAATCCTACTAAAAATCTTGAAAACAGATAGAAATCTTTAACGGAGTGAGAGAAATTGCCAAAATGTTACTGTGCATTTTGCCTGGAGGTTCGCAGGATCGTAGGGTGATACGTGATGCCTCTTTGCACACGAAACTGTTTCATATCGTAAGAAAAATATTTGCCACCATTGTCAGAATATAGATTGACTAATTTTTAGTTAAAATGAGCTTCACACTTTGCAACAAAATCTTTTCAAAAACAGAGAAAACACCTGATTTGTGATGAATCAGGTATGTGACGCAATAATGCATGAATTCATCTACAAAAACCACAAAATAATTTTGATTCAACTGAGTGGGAGGAGTGATAAGATATACATTCGAATGTACCATGAAGAGTGGTCTTCGCACATACCTGTTATCCTCAAAATTTTGAAACTGTAATTTTGCTTGCTTGCCACTAATACAAGCTTTACATAAATTTTCGCTTAGCACAATATTTTCAACTTGATCTACGTCATCAATAGGCTGATATCTTTTTAACTCTAAAAATTTAGCTTAGTTTATGTGACTTAAACGTTTATGCCATAATTTGTATTTATCAAAATATGATGCACTGTGAGCCATTGCTTTGTTCATCATGAAGTTCACTGAGAATAAATTGTTAAATGGTTACTGTTCATTACAACCATTTTTCCCTCTTTTATTGTTACTTCTTGCTGATTAAAGATCACATCGAATCCAGCTTCCTGAAATTATCTCACAGAAAGCAAATTTCACAGGACTTCCAGGCAATACAATACGTCTTTAAGGACTCCTTCAAATCCTGGTTGAATCCTCACTTGAAAATTTCTCTTCTTGTAGGCAAAGATATGAGCTCCGTTTTTAGCTAATGATATTATTATCGGAGGATTCAGATGTATGAAGCTTTTGCATGCACTCTCTGTTTTTACCATGTGAGTTGCAGCTCCAGAATCCAGAATGAAGGTTAAATTGTCATCACTGTTTAAACTATGCGGGTTCTCCTGAGCCATGAATGCAAAACTTGAAACAGTCGAAATATTTTGATGATTCTCATTTTCTGTAGAAACATTGATGGACTAATTTCAATTGCTTTGAGGATGAATTATTTTTGATTTCAAAGTTTTCTTGTAGAAGATGCAATCTTTGATCATATGATTTTTCCTGCCGCAGTGATAGCAGGCGTTAAAATTATTTTGATTTGCTTGCTTTGGTTTTTGTCTAAAGTTTTTCACAAATTTAGAATTTCTGAATTGTATTTTCCCTTTGGTAGCACTGGTAGCACTGTCACTTGCTTGGAGAATTTTCGCGCTACTGTCAGTTTTATCAGTTATTAATTTTAGCTCGTGATCTAACAACTTAATTTTTACAAACGCAACACTTAAATTTTCATCACTTAATGTTTCAATAGCCGTAATTATACCATTATAGCTCGGGGGAAGGGTCACAAGAAGGTGAGCAATCTTGTCAGACTCCTCTAACATTGCACCGGCAGCTTGAAGTTCCGTGAGCAGATCATCGAATTCTATGAAATGCTTCATCAAAGGTGTATCAGAGTCTAACTAAGGAGCAAATAATCGTTTTTTCACGGCTATTGTGTGGTAATACTTTTTCTTTCGTACAGGTCGTCTAAACTTTTTGTTATCTCCAGAGCCGTCCGCTCCGGTGTTGCGAAATGCAGATGAGAATCAGCCAAACCAAGCATGGCTTTTGCCAGGATATTCTTAGCCTGCCAGTCATCATTTTCGCTAGATGGTCCATAAATCACATCAATTAAGTACATTTTTCTTCGTCGTTAGGCGGCGAGTCCGAAGTTTCCAGATGCTGTATTTTCCCAGTCGAAGGGTTTAATGCTCTTTTTAGACTTAAGGTCCATTATAGCACACGTTTTAAATACTTCAAATCACAGAATAACGACCTAAGCCCATAACCTGTAGGGATGAAGGGATGTTATGAAGGACTTAAAGAAATGACTACGGCACTTTTGGTGTATCGACTTTTTAATTATTGTACTGGAGGTTATGAAAAATTCAACTGATATAAAACGTATTAATTTTTGTTCTCTTGTTTTTGTTGCAAAATCATCATATTTAAATTCTTTCTGCCCCCAACGTAACTTGATTATTCCAAATTTATGACCCTCAGGGTCGGTCATTTGTGCCGTCCTTTCAGGGCCTGCAGCCCCCACCCCCTCCCCGTGCCCTAGTAACATAAATGTAACTTCATTTCCGGATTTGGCAACACGAAAACCTTAGTTGTAGAGTAGCCACCTTACTTGGTACTTCCAGGAGCACATGTCCCCTACCCCGATTTCGGCTCAATTCGACCGTCATCTTGGATTTTGGACCTCAAAAAAGGCCAAAGTGATTTTTTGACAGCAGATTTGAATTCTACGACCACATGTACACAGAAATCGACTCTTCAGTCGGCCAAAGAAGTTGATATTGTTAATTTCATTCCCAACAGGGATCATTTGGGCCGGCATCTTGGAATGGGAGTGTCTTTTTGAACAATGAGAATGACGACATCGGAATTCTGTTCCTGGACACTACGAAAAAGAGATTATGACATATCCCACACTTCTATCACTTACGGCTCCACAAGACCCTAAAATTGAACATTTGCGCCGGGACAAGACCCATAGATTTCAATTTTTGTGGAATTTCTACATTAAAACAGGAATGACAAGGGTTGGGTTAATATTAAGTTTTTAAACTAAATATATCTTTAAAATAGAGTAAATTTAAAAGTTTTTCAATCCCCATTAGCTGCAATAAAGTCAGAAATATGTTCGTCAAAATTCGTCAAACTTTGAAGTTCTTGGAAAAAAATAAGAAAAAATTGGGGAAAATTGAGCCTAAACCATTAAGAGAATTGCTCTAGAGGTCTGACGGGACAAGATCTTGCTGTACAATTGATTTTTAAGCATTTTTCAACTCTTGAGATTTTTTTATAGATATTACCAGGTTTATGGGTGCACCTCCGAATACCCGACTTTCGGTTTTTGTGGAAATTCTCCCTTACGACCTGCATGGCCACGGCTGAGTTAATTTTTAGCTTTGAGACTGAATATATCTTTAAACTACAGTATATTTATAAATTTCTTAGCTCCCATTAGTTACAATATAGTAAGAAATGTATTCGTCAAAATTGTTCAAAGATTCAAGTTCTTTGAGAAAAATCAGAAAATTTCGGAGAAAATTGGGCGTAAGTTATGAAAATAATTATTCTGATGGTTTGATGAGATACTTTCCTGGAATAAAATTGAATTCGAAGCATTTCTGTTGTCTTGACAATTTTGCGAAAACGCCTTTTTTTTTAGATTTTGAGAGATTTTTGGATGCGCCTCCAAATGCCCCAATTTTCGCCATGACGGCCATTTTTAATATGTTGCTGAATGGTTTAGGCTAGAAAACCGGCCGAAATAGATGCCTCAGTACCATTGGAAAAAACCCTCAAAGTTTCAAATAGTCGCGGGAAAGTGCTATCGTAGGCCCTGTACTACTTTGAAAGCTTAAAGATTCATTACACAAGGGGCTTGGAAATGGTTCTGAATCATCCCAATGGTCCAATTTTTGGCTAATGGTTACCTAGAAAACTTATTCTCTCTTCACTATTGCATACAAATATTACACGGCATAACCTGCTCCTTGTTTTCTTTCAATTTTTTCAATTCTGGCTATTATAGCTGCCCTAAATTTTTTACGAGATGTATAAACTTTGGGAATATTTAAGGATCTTTCAGGATGTGTATCTTGTACAACGAATTTTTCCTTCTTCAACTTAAGAAGAAGGGGATGGACAAGCAAATGAGCAGACAATCTTAAATTCAAATCCTTCAGTTTTTAAGAATCTGAAAAAGACGGCAATTTTCTTTGCTGCTAGGCCCTCACTCAGACTTTCCTTATATACTTCAACTACGTAGGTCAAAAATTGAGGAGCTAACAAGAGAAAAATTGGATACTTACATCATTCTTTTTACGGCTCTCTCTTTCTTTCGCCTGTTTTTCCCTGTTACGATCTCTAAACCAAAGCCCTGAGAAGAAAACAACAATGTAAGTAGGATATAACTGATTTGCATAATAGGACGCATATTATTCGCAAGAACAGCTTACATTCCTCGGTGGTTACGTTCCTTAGGTTGGTGGCAAGATCTACTGCATTTTACCCACTTACTTTGCAAAATTAGACATATTGTATTTATGTTAACAAGAACTGTGTAGAAATTAGTGAAATCAAAAATAGCTATGCAGCATGCAAATCTCCCGCATGTTACTGGCAAACCCTGATTTTGAAGCAAACCCAGTTTTACCTAGGCAAATTAGGTTTACCAAGCGCTATTTCTGGAAAACCCCGATTTTGCTTTTTATCACAAATATGACCATACCGCTTAACTTTTTTTTTACAGCAAATGCAACGTTGGTTGGCAGATTAAGGAGACCAAATTTTTACCAGATTGAGGTATACTTTATTTCCGGAACACGGAAAACACAGAGAAAGGCTATAAGTAAAGGGGAAAAAAGCATAGAGAATTGATAATTGCGTAAGTACTGTAAAAAATGTTTAAAATAGTAATGAGGTGAAGACTACTTATGCAATTATCAATTTTCCATGCTATTTTCCTCTTTACTTGTAGCCATCCTCGGTGTTGCATGTGTTCCTGAAATTACTAGGAGCGGTTGCGACCCTGTCAAGCCTATAGAGATCTCCAACCAAGAAAAGGGGAGCTGCAACTGTACATCTTACACGAACCCGTTCAACTTTTGCGTTACTTTGAGATATCTCCGCGAAAATTTAACGAAACTCAAAACCCTTTGCACTCCGGCTGGCATAATTATTTTCTCATATACAGGCGAAATTTGAAGGTGATTCCATAAGCACTTAATTGATAGTCGCTAATTAATTGCCGTTTTTTGCTCAAATTTATCATATTACCCGCGCCGCATCACATTCGTGCCTCAAAATTATGACTTCTATCGGCCATCCATATTAAATATAAATGTGGTGCCAGCCGTTATAAAAGTCAATGCAACTCATTTTAAATAGTCTAGAGGGGTGTCTTTTGACAATTTCATGAATTTAGAACATACTTTCGAAATTCAAACGATTATAGTCGTTTCAATACCGCCATACCACTCACATCACATTCGTGCCCCGAAATTTTGACTTCAATAGGCCATCCGTATTAAATATAAGTGTGCTGCCAACTTTTACAAAAGTCAATGCAACTCATTTTAAATAGTCTGAAGGGGTGTCTTTTGACAATTTCATGAATTTCGAACACACTTTCGAATTATTAAAACTTACGAAAGTCAAACAATCCAAGTCGTATCTCGTGATCGTCTTCATTCAGTGAACAGAGTGAATCCCTGCTGGTGAATTCTGAATCGCGACCCTCTTTTCTACGCTTGGAAAGAAAGTGAGATTAAACATAGATTTGTGTTAATCACTCAATTTCCGATTTGTTTTTTTTTTCTAATAATAACTGGTTTCTAAGAATTTTGAATTCCTTGCCTTCGTGACTTCGTGTCAGACAGCTAGCTGACGTCACAGTCAATTCAATCAATGTTTGTCTTTTCGTTTTTGGATTATCCTGAGATGTAAGCATACCTACACAAACTAAACTAATAAATGAAATAATGTTTTTATTTTGAAATGCAAACTAAATTATACTATTGCAACTTCCCTTTATTGTTCTCTACTATCTCTAAATTTTGTGTCTACCTGTATTACCTAGCTACAAGTTCTGTGTAACTTCCTCAATCTATGGTTCATTGGTTCGTAAGCAAAACCATAAGTACCTATGACAATAAGTGAATTTTAATACCCTTATCCCTGCAGAGATCTGTTCAATGTCAAAATATCCTAGTAATCTGGTTTTGAGCGAGACCCATATCAAGGATTTTAAGGCAGCGTCAGTAGTTTTAGTAACAAATCTATGCCGAGTCGGATGCCGAAATTCTACCTAAGGTATGTACTGAGCTATTTCAATGTGTGTTACCTAATACATAACAGAGGCAATATTTCCTGAACCATGCCAAACCACATTGACCATGCAACATCTATCTGGCTACTCTATCATCGAACCCTTCAGCTGTGTGTTGTGATTATCACGCAAATTATCACTATGGTGCTCATGACTTCATGCCGGACAGCTAGCTGACGTCACAGGCAATTCAATCAATGTTTGTCTTTTCGTTTCGTGCATAGTAATAGTCTCAGAGAATATGTATGTTGATAAATACATGCTAGTTACGAAGGTTCATTCAAGAAATTTGCATTGCAATTTTCAAGTTTCGTTATCTTTCCCTGCTCCCGTACAATATTGTAAGCAAAGGCAATCTCCTCAGACAATGCGACTATAGCTATTGAGTTTCGAAGCAAATAGCGGATGCGGCAATGTATTTACACTCAACAGCAGGAATTTAAGTGAATACTCTCTATACTTACTACACACTGCGAAGATCTCTTGTTGCTAAGATCTCTATTCTTACTCACTTTGATTTAATATGCTGCTGAGTAAGTAATTGAAATGTAAACAGATCACAGCTCAGCGCGCAAATGGTATTTAAGTAAGGGGCAACGTAGGGATGTCGCGCATCTTCGGCGGTGCCCGAACATCCTCGATGGTGCCCTTACCTACTTATACTATGGTAACATATACCTAACTCCAGATTTTCTCTTGTACGCTATATTCTCTAGATGGGACCAAGGAGGCGTACATAAAGTTTACTTTGAACTGCTCAAGGCGGTATTACTTGAGAATTGCACTTCAAATTTAAGAGTTCAGCGAATGAAATTGCTCGCTTCTTTTTCTTTAGGTATCTTAATGGATTGGAGGGGGAATTTCCTACGGGTCTTTTGGCTTAGTTGCTCATGAGAGTATTTTGGTAGTTTTTACTTAACTTGCCTAACTTTACTATCAAGACTTTCTGTGCTCACAATACTCTGGGTAATCTGATATTCGCAATAAAAATGTGTTAACTTACTCATTACACATTACCTACTCTCCGAATTTATAACAATACAATTTTTGTGTCCAGATTCTTCCGGAATGTTTCCAATTTCAAAATACCTAAGGGCCTTCTGTTTCTCATTAGAAAAGTAGATCAGTCAAAGGAAGAAATTTATAAGGATCATCATAATAATGTGTCTTTTCAGAAATTTTAAGTACACTGTTTAAGTAAACTATTTCACTTTAAATAAACGAGGACTCTGATATTAGAATTTTCTTATGCTCATCTTTGAAGTATTTTTTAGCCTTACAAAGCTTACTAAAATCGTTAGCTTTCAATGACTTCATTTGTCAATATGTACATCCAAGAATTTACACGATTGCTAGCCTTTGAGATTTATAACAAACTACGAATAAAATTAGCTACCTATTCCAACACTTACATTGCGCAGGAAGAAAAATTTCTCGCAGATTTTTTGCTAAGGCTATTTTATTTTATTTTATTTGAGAGATTTACCTCCTCTAAATTTTTTGAGAAAATCAGTTTGATTTCAATAGGAACCTTTTTTATTTGTAAATAAATTGGGGCACATCTTTAAAAATATATTAACTGATCCCTGTTGGAATTATTTTGAGCAGAATCAAGCAGAGGTTATGCGACAGTAACCAACTGAAAAATTTTGGATACTCTAATTAGGTAAATGTGATTCAGACCAAAGTTGACCAAATATATATATTTTTTTTAAACATAGTTTCTCAAGTCATATCCTTAGTTTCAGCATCACCATATAACATTGTTTAAACGGATAAATGCGGGCAGCAGTAAATACTGGCAGTATTTTCTTGTGGGTGCCTGTATCAATTTTGTTCTTCCTGTCTTTAAAATTTGGATGGAAATACTTTTCATCTCCAGGGGAAGAATAACATCAAGAAGGAACTTCGTTTTTAATGAATCCTTATCCACCAATATTCATAGCTTTCACAATTTGCTCTCTTTAAGTAGGAGTCTAATGGTCTCAGCATGTGCAGAAAAACCAAAAGTAACTGATATAACCACAAAAAACCCTCAAAAAGTGTAAAACATTCACCCAGCCTATGAGATCTTATCACAAAATTAGTAGGTATGTATCTAAAAAAAATTTAAAAAAGGAGAAGGGGGGGGGGAATAATATCTTGAAAATTACAAAAGAAGAAAAGTTGCTCTGACTCTGTTTTCGATTTCAAAACTTAAAATGTCTGATATCATTTGAGGTCAAGATTTGTCAAGTATCGGTATGCCCCAGAACTACAACGAGTAAATGTGCAGTTGATTCTGCTGAGAGTCCCCTTCAGTTAGTCTCGGACGCAACCAGCTTACCTTGGAAGCCAGTTTACGAGGTCTATCCGGAAAGTATCCGACCTTGTTGATTATCTCGCCAGCAACGGTTGATAAGAGGTTGGGGCTTGGGATTATCTCTGCAGGGACTCTCCTGAGTGCAGGTGCACAGCAGGATTATCACACGTTGAACCAGTCGTTGGTGTTTTGCTGATTAGTGCGTTCTATTCTACTGTCATCGTCGGATTTCGTTTTTCTTAAAAAAGAAGATGTTAAGGAGAGTGGGGTGGGAAAAGTTTGTGAAGAAGATCATCACAGGGGACGCGTCTTGGGTCTACGAGTACGACCCTGAGACAAAAGTGCAATTGTCACTTGGGATCGCACCGAGGAGACCTCGCCCGTAGAAAGCTTGGAAGAGTCTCAGCAATGTGAAGACAATGTTAACTGTCTTCTTCGATCATGAAAGTGTCGCCCAACATGAATATGCTCCCCAATGCTCTACTATATATATCTATAATCCGGCTGTGCACCTGCACTCAGGCGAGTCCCTGCAGAGATAATCCCAAGCCCCAACCTCTTACCAACCATTGATGGCGAAATAATCAACAAGGTCGAATACTTTCCGGACAGACCTCGTAAACTAGCTTCCAAGGTAAGCTGGTTGCGTCCGAGACTAACTGAAGGGGAATCTCAGCAGAATCAACTGCCCATTTGCTCGTTGTAGTTCTGGGGCATACCTACACTTGAAAAATCTTGACCTCAAATGATATCAGACATTTTGAGGTTTGAAATGGAAAACAAAGTTTGAGCTACTTTTCTTCTTTTGAAATTTTCAAGGGATTATTACCCCCTCCCTCTCTCTCCTTTTTTTAAATTTTTTTAGAAACATACCTACTAATTTTGTGATAAGATCTCATAGGCTGGGTGAAAGTTTTACACTTTTTGAGGGTTGTCTGTGGTTTAAAGTCTACTTCAATCTGTACAAATTTGGTCTCCATAATCTGCTTACCAACATTACATTTGCAGTTACTTAAAAAAAAGTAAGGCAGTGCGGTTATAATTGTGATAAAAAAAATGTTAAGCGGTACAGTCAGATTTGCAGTAAAAACAAGGTGAACAGTGTGGTCTTGATTGCAGTAAAAAGCGAAATCAGGGTTTGCCTGAAATGGTGTTTGACAAATCTGGTTTTGCCGGAAATAATGTGTGGCAAACCTAGTTTTGCCTTAAAGGGCGTTTGGCAAACCTAGGTTTGCATGAAAATCGGGGTTGGCCGGTAACAAACACAAAGTTCCTATAGTTTTAATTCATTTGCACATAGTTCCTTTTCACATAAATACGTCTAATTAATTAACTAGGAATTTCTTCATAAAAAAGGAATGAATGCCTCTGGTATGCAGCAGGATTGTGGACAGAATTGTTATGCATACAAAAATCTATACTTTTTTCCGCTACAATATCCATTTTTGGCCTTCATTTGCCTTCATCGCGTTTGAAACAGAAGGGAACCAAGCCACATCAGATATACCAAATTTAATTTTTTCAGGAAAACGATTGTGCCAATTTCTGAGCAGTTCAGTGATTTTGTGTAAAGAATGGAGCACATTCCTTAAAATTTTCGAAGGAATCCACACAACCGCACTCTTGTAAAAAGTGACTTTGCCCGTTGAGGCTATTCGAGTACTGCATAATGCACCCCGAGGGGGGGGGGGGGGGGTCTAAACTTGTCTCTTGAAGCTTTTAGAAAGGGGAGGGGGACCAAGACAAGTCTTACATAGGCTTTAAAAAAAAGGCTACTTGTGTAAAAAATAAAAAAACTTTATCAGTGTTATGAGCTGTAAAACCCTGCCTTTTCAAAACAAGACTTGTTGGTGCCACAAAATTTTGCCACCGTCCCGCCGTGCTGGCACCACGTACCGATAGCGCACGCATTTCTAGACAATTTTTCAATAAAATGCTTCTTTTCTCTGCCAAATTTCATCAAAATACCTTTACAAAAGCCCTAAATTTATTCTAGCTCTTTGACCAGGCTTTCTCCACTTTTATCTGAAAAAATGAGGGGGNGGTCCCGGCCAATCTTACGAAATTTAAAAGGGAAGGGGGGTCAGAGATTTCTTACAAATACCTCACAGGGAGGGAGGGGGGTCAAAAAGTTGGCAAAAATGCCTTCCATAATACTTGAACGGCCCCTTACATTTGGCAATGGCTGATGTGGCTCACCTAGTTCCTTTCAGCTACACGCTATCCATATATCAATATTCGTTCTTCCAGAATGAAATTTGTTAATCCCTAAAACTTCTAGAATTATTTAATTAAGAGAACTTTCTTAATAACTTAATGCTAAGGCTCTTTTTTCTGCTTCAGACAATTATATTACTGCAAAAGAGGAAATGCAACTCAGTTTAGCCGAGGCTCACAGTAAAGGAAGGAATATTAGAGGTTTTCTTTCAAAATAACTTTCGCAAATTCTGTTCAAATTAATTTAACTATTTAAGTGCTAACGTTGATATGACAACTAAAAGATTTGTTAACTTACCGAGTTCTTTCCCCCTTAGTCCAGAGGGAGGTTTGATTTTACTTTTCCTATTTTGATCAGTAGGTTGAGAGGGACCAGTTCCAAGGGAGGCTATCTGGTATGCGTCCGTTTGAGATGAATGTGCTTCCTCTGAATAGGCTAAGAAGCAGGAAAATAATCATAAATCATAATTCATGCGGATCAAGGGTAAAATTTGAGGCTGGAGATTAGAGGGTTAAGTAACTATAACAGAATTTTTTTCTTGGTTATTTGGGTTTGCACGAGTTTAATATTCTTTAATGATGAATTGATTCATAAGATATCATAATCAATCCAGAAGAATCCAAAATTAGTTGGGAAACCTCTGGCCATCTTTGGGGGTAAATTGGGGCCCCATGATCTTGAAAGTTGAGGTTTCTGACCAAATTTTACATTGGTTCCATCAAAATTAGAAAGAATCATAAACGAGAAATCTCAACCATGATTGACACCTGAACCTGTTTTCTTTAAACTTACTTATGAATAATGCAGCCGAAAGCGCACTTGGAATTGCTGATATTTCCAGCATAGTTTAGAAGATAAATAAGTCACTGTCTCCCTCTTCTTAACTATCAAACCTCTTTATGACCGTTATGAGAATGTCAGGTCCATGCATTAAATATTTAAAATTTATGGTGATCCAAACGAAATAAGGGATACCTACCAGAAAAGTTGCATATTAAGTGATCTTTAGGATGAAGTCTTTAACATTTTCATTTGCTCTTGCCCTGCTGCATCATTTAATCCTTACTTAGCTCTTTGATTTCTAAGTTCTGACTGAAGTTAACATCACGAGTATAGTGTTAGAGTCTTCAAGAATCGACCTACTCATTGCAATCAACTTCTGGGTGAACTCCCTCTTTATTTTTCGGAAAAAAGGATTGAAGCCGGTTTTGAAAGGTGCAATATACATGCTACATCACAGTCTACCTGGTCCCTTAATTATCGCAAAGCATTCTTTCATAAGGTGATTTTGTATATTTTTTATTTTATATATTTATCAAAATAGGGGACTACAATCTTATGTATTAACCCTAATTAACTTTACTTAACATGAGGATTTGACAGTTGCTTTTCAGACCCAAATATCAAGGCGATAGAGAATTGTGCTTATACTTCAAGTACCACTTAGGGATGTCGATACTTATCCGATACTTGCAAAGTATCGATACTTTCGATCGATACTTAACGATACTCGGCATCGATACTCCACGATATCGATACCATGCAGTATCGATGCCAAGACCCCAGTATCGACACTTAATCTGATTTGGCCATGAAGAAGGCCTCTTTTTCTTTTTTAAAAAATTCTCTCCCCACTATTTCACCTTCATGATACACTGTGACAAACGACAGAGTAATCAAGTTTCTCAAGATGATAATACTTCAATAAAAATGTTAAAAGCTCAGTTTGATAACTGTAGTTAAGGGCTCAAAATAGTTGACTAAAGACGCGAACAGGGCTTTTTCGAGAGAGGCGTAAATCTGGCGGAATTTAACAGCCGACAGACATACGCACACTCAGAATCACAGCATAATACAGAAATAGTATCGATGGTATCGATACCTCATAAGTATCAATACTTCAGCTCGATGCTCGATACCGGTATCGATACTTCCCTGAGTATCGACATCCCTAGTACCACTTCTATAGTAATCCTGCGCTTTTCCCGAAAATATATAATACAATCTAGACCGCATGTTAGGATTTTGGCGAGACGATAGGTAACCAGGATTGCAACTGGTATCATCCAGCCATTCCTTCGTCCCTGGTCCAGCTATGCTGCCATCAGTCTTGAGTGCCAGATGTCAGATGTTTTCAAGATGGATGGTAACAAACGCCGTTTTGTGCAGAGGCCGAAATTTGTCATCTGCAATTGCAAACCGAAAGTAAACAAAGGTCAACTTATCTGACGACACCTCTAGCTGTCTTACCCCTCTCGCCTAAGGTCGGGCCTGGCGCACAGTCTAGATTGTGTTATAAGTCAATGGCTTTCTCCAGGTTGAGTTACCCTATCCCCCCTCAATCTCTGTTGTACAACCAGCCATGGAAACCGTTGTTTAAGATCATCCGACATCAGCCACCCAGCCCCCGAGGCCCTTGAACCTGAGGTCTTCTGATCATAAAGCCAGCACTACAACCACTGCACCACACCTAAAAGTGGTTGAAAAAACTCTAAAATCTCAAGACCTGAAAAACCTGATGCTTCAAACCTGCTTGCACAGAGTATACACGACATGAACTTCGAAGACTCACCGAACAGTGTATGATCACCCTCATGTTTAACTCTGGCCCTGTTTTGAGAAATAATGTCATTTACATGTTTGTTCTGCCTGAGGGCGGCTCGGAATCTACCTCCTCTTCTCATCATTGATAGGTATTCGAGAGCGATAAAATAAGAAAAACAACACTTAAAACAGTTGAAGACAGAGCAGAATGATTCGTGCACGGTTGAATCTGAATAGATTGTTATCTACCTTGCTAACAGACTAGAGTACGATGTAGAGTCAGGGCAGGGCTGCCGATACTCGGACTCACATTTCGCGAATTTTTTACTCACACGCTACTCACCAATCTAAAATTTACTCACTTGCTTCTCACTGATCGCGATTTTACTCACTTTTACTCACCGTTCTCAATTCTACTCACTTTTTACTCACCATTTCCCGATTTTACTCACATTGACATTGTTTTCACTCACCGATTACTCATCGTTTTAAATTTTACTCACCGATTACTCACACAAATTGCGCCAAAAATGGAGAATTACTGAGAATTACCCATGGATTTTGCATTACTCACGATTACTCACGGATCGTCGGATTACTCACCAATTACTCATTACTCACGTTTTACTCACCGGTGCTCAAATTACTCACGATGTGAGTAATTACTCACGAATCGGCAGCCCTGACGTGTTGGCAGTTTCGTTTCGCAAACAAGCCGAAAATGGCCGACGTTTGGGAAAGTTGTTTGGCTTATGACGTCATCCGAAGCTCATCATCGACCATGTAGGTAAGTCAACAGCCGAAAATAGGGTGATGACTGTTGCTCGCTCATAATTGTCCATAAGGAATTGTTGAAACCCCGAAAGTAAAAGCTTCCACCTGTCGCTAGGAGGCCAGTGGAGGGTCTCTTGTCTCTGGCGATGGATGAGTCGAGGTTCGGGGGGAAGGATCCTCTGAGTTGACTAGGATCCTACGCAAGAATGCGCTGCAATCACCCGCTCACAACAGAACGGCGTCCTATAGAACTCGTCCCTGGTAGAGTACGTACCAGCGTATCCGATTGCGCATAGACCAACACACCCGGGCCTCCCGCCTTCCGCGGAACAAAAGGGTGCCGCAAAACTAGTTCGAGCCACCGCCGCGCCGCCGCAGCGCTGCCTACCGTCAATTACATCACCCTACACCCGCTTACATTGTACCCCACAACTATTCGGCTTTTCTCCGTAAATTCTCCCCTATACCTTCACCCTCCCTATTTCCTTGTAAAAATACGTCAACTAGGGGGACCATAACCCGGAAAAAATCTTTTCCTAGCCGAATTACCCCCTTCAGATTCCCCTTCCCATGCATGGTACTCACCGGAATGGCCAATTTCAAAAGCCCATAAAAAAAATTTACACGTACGATTGAGATGAGACATTTTCTAGGCACCCACTGCATCAGTAGGTATCGGAAAATGTCAAAATTTCCGTGGCGAAAATTCCCCTTTTATCGGAAAAGCCCCCATCAGATCGGCTCTTCATTCGATGCAGTCACACCGGATTTTCAATTTTCAAGAGCCCATAAAAAAAAAAATTGACCCCTACGATAGAGATGAGACATTTTCTAGGCACCCACTGTCTCCCTAGGTATCGGAAAATGTCAAAATTCCGTGGCGAAAATTCCCCTTCTACCGGAAAAACCCCCATCAGATCCTCTCATCGGCTTTTCGTTCGATGCAGTCACTCCGGATTTTCAAATTTCAAGAGCCCATAAAAAAAATTGACCCGTACAATTGTGCTGAGACATTTTCTAGGCACCCACTGCATCCCTAGATATCGGAAAATGTCAAATTTCCGTGGCGAAAATTCCCCTTTTACCAGAAAAGCCCCCATCAGATCGGCTCTTCGTTCGATGCAGTCACTCCGGATTTTCAATTTTCAAGAGCCCATAAAAAAAATTGATACCTACGATTGAGATGAGACATTTTTCAGGCACCCACTGTCTCCCTAGGTATCGGAAAATGTCAAAATTTCCGTGGCAAATGTTCCCCTTCTACCGGAAAAGCCCCCATCAGATCGGCTCTTCGTTCGATGCAGTCACTCCGGATTTTCAAATTTCAAGAGCCCATAAAAAAAATTGACACCTACGATTGAGATGAGACATTTTCTAGGCACCCACTGCATCCCTAGGCATCGGAAGATGTCAAAATTTCCGTGGCAAAGATTCCCCCTCTACCGGAAAACCCCCATCAGATCGGCTCTTCGGCTCTTCGTTCGATGCAGTCACTCCGGATTTTCAATTTTCAAGAGCCCATAAAAAAAATTGACACCTACGATTGAGATGAGAATATCCTAGGCACCCACTGTCTCCCTAGGTATCGGAAAATGTCAAAATTTCCGTGGCGAAAATTCCCCTTCTACCGGAAAAGCCCCCACCAGATCGGCTCTTTCTTCCTTTAAATGAAGAGAGCGCAGGCGGCTGGATCAGATTGTGTATTTTAAGTCCCTTGGTTCGGTCATCGTATTCTGAAGTGAAACTGAAAGAGTCGCCGTTTACAAGATCGCAACTCACTTAGGAGCCCCCTGAACCCTAAGGAACCAAACCCGGGGTATCAGCCCCTACATTTTCCGATACCTACGGATGCAGTGGGTGCCTAGAAAATGTCTCATCTCAATCGTACTTGTCAATTTTTTTTTTATGGGCTCTTGAAAGAGGTTGTTCCAAAAACGCCGATTTTGGCCCCCCCCTGGATTTGGCCCAAACTTTGCTCAGATGTTGTACTAAGTGTCCCCGATGCTTGGGCAAAATTTCAGCCCCCTCGGATAATTAGGGGGGAGGGGGCAGGGGGGCAAAGTTGCAATTTTTTTAAAACTTTAAAAATCGATATCTCGCGAACGCTTTGAGTGTAAGTGTTGCGGTTTGCGCTAAAAAACGTCAAAAAATATTCTCTACAAGAATATTAATGCTGTTTGCAAGGTTGCGTAATTTATCGCGGTCATAAATCGATTTTTTCGATTTTGAAGGTTCGACTTTTTTTCGTTTTTCGTCTCTCCTCTCTTTGGAATCGTTGCTACGTGAATAAAAACCTGTTGAGGTGATTCTCCATGAAATTCTGCATCTACCACACATTGTTTGATCTTGGGGAAACGATTCGTTCGTGAGTTATAGCGATTTTTCTGCGCGTTATCGGTTACGCGCGGGCGGTTTATGGGCGGCGCTCCATCCCTCGCGGGCAAGGCAGAGGTTGTTTCACCGCTAGGGCCTTATATTCATGCTGTAGGCTGTAATTATCGATATTTTCTCCTCCCCCCACCCTTCCCCTGCAATACATATTTGTTTAATACTTCGTTAAACAGGGTATCCCAGACCACCCGTAACAGGTCTTTTTCTCGGTCGGTTTAGGTAGTACGAAGTGGGGGGCCGCGGGATTGAACAGGGAATTGACCCCAAGGAATCCGAATTTCACGGTCCCGAAACCCCCCATGCCCCCTTGTGAGGTAAAGAGGGGGTCACGATCCCCAAAGTCGGGAGACATTGTGCCTCCCCCTTTTACCCCCCGAGGGTGGCTAGGGGGGCATCGGGACCATGAAATTCGGATTCCTTGGGGTCAATTCCCTATTCAATCCCGCGGCCCCCCACTTCGTACTACCTAAACCAACCGAGAAAAAGACCTGTTACGGGTGGTCAGGGATACTCTGTATAACGAAGTATTAAACAAATATGTATTGCAGGGGAAGGGTGGGGGGAGGAGAAAATATCGATAATTACAGCCTACAGCATGAATATAAGGCCCTAGCGGTGAGACAACCTCTGCTTTGCCCGCGCGGAATGGAGCGCCGCCGATAAGCCGCCCGCGCGTAACCGATAACGCGCAGAAAAATCGCTATAACTCAAGAACGAATCGTTTCCCCAAGATCAAACAATATGTGGTAGATGCAGAATTTCATGGAGAATCACCTCAACAGGTTTTTATTCTCGTAGCAACGATTCCAAAGAGAGGAGAGACGAAAAACGAAAAAAAGTCGAACCTTCAAAATCGAAAAAATCGATTTATGACCGCGATAAATTACGCAACCTTGCAAACAGCATTAATATTCTTGTAGAGAATATTTTTTGACGTTTTTTAGCGCAAACCGCAACACTTACACTCAAAGCGTTCGCGAGATATCGATTTTTAAAGTTTTAAAAAAATTGCAACTTTGCCCCCCTGCCCCCTCCCCCCTAATTATCCGAGGGGGCTGAAATTTTGCCCAAGCATCGGGGACACTTAGTACAACATCTGAGCAAAGTTTGGGCCAAATCCAGGGGGGGGGCCAAAATCGGCGTTTTTGGAACAACCTCTTTGAAAATCCGGAGTGACTGCATCGAACGAAGAGCCGATGAGAGGATCTGATGGGGGTCTTTCCGGTAGAAGGGTAATTTTCGCCACGGAAATTTTGACATTTTCCGATACCTAGGGATGCAGTGGGTGCCTAGAAAATGTCTCATCTCAATCGTACGGCAAAGTTCAAATAACTTTTTACTTTTGGGGTAGCCGAGATTTTAAAAGTGAAAGTCCTCAAATGGCATTCCTATATTTTTTTTTAAGGTCTTTATACCCTCTAAAGGCATGATTTAGTAGTAGTCACGAATAATATGCACTAAAAATATTTTTTCATTTACCGTAGACCCCACTCCTTTTGGAAAGAGGCTACGGTAATGATGGCTACGGTAATGATAATTTATGATGAAAGTCGGTGTATAATCTAGTTGCCTTGGTGGATTCCGCTGTAATTTTCAAATTGAGGTTAGGTCTTAGTATGCAATATAAATCATGCACTACTTTAATATTTCATTCATTCCTTGACAGAAAAAAGTAGGTATACGGTAATGAGAATTTCAAATTGCCAAAATTTAATTCAGCAGATAAAAACAAGAGAAATTATCTTTTAATGAAGTTCAAAATCCGGACAACCCGGCCATCGTGCACTAGACGGTAAACAAAACACTCCGAATGAATAAGTGATCACAGACTGCGTTCTAGTGGCGGAAAAGTGCCGCTAACAGGGTCTACGGTAATGATGCGAAAATTTTGTTACATTGCTTCCGGGTGGCGTAATTTTATTGCTATGCTAAGCTTTGACATAAACACCAAAAAATACTCTTTGAAATACATCTTGGCTGTAATATTTGCCAAGGTTTTATTTTTTTTGGGCTTGAATCTTTTGAAAACCTAACATAAAATTAATGACCTACAGATTATTACAGGCTACGGTAATGAT